AAAGAGAGTGGAGTTGTATGCAGTATATTGCAATAGAAGTCTTTTTTGGTAGGATACTGCTGATAAGGCTCAAGAATGGTCTTGGTATTGTCGCATACAAAATGCCTGGCCTGAGATTTTAACTGTAGAAAGCTTGTCTCCTGCAGAGAGATGCTTTTAAGAAAGGAGAGGGTGACCTGAGAATTACAATTGCCTCTTACGTAAAGGAGAAAGATGAACCAAAACAGGGTGGAAATGCTTCGTGCTTCCAGACCGGGTGATAGTGTGCATCCCAGGAAGAGAGAGAGATCGTTACTAGCATGCGGTCCATTCAAGCTTTCAGGTCCCCGCTGTCTCCGCATCTCTTGATGGAGTTTGAAAGCCCAGTAGTAGTATTATGGAAAGTGTCCATAATACTGTCACACTATTCCTCTGGCATACTTCTTTTGGGTCTGATTCAGACTTCTCTCTGTGTGTTTTATACACTGGGCACAATGGGTTAACCCTGGAGCTAGTGAGACCAGAGCAGTCCCTGCCTGTCTTCAACCAAAAAGCAAAGAACAGCTTTAAGTGCCACAAAACTACTCAGCCCCCATTTCAGGTGGGGAAAATGAGGGCTGGAAGGGATGTAGAAGGTCACATCTAGTCCAACCCCTGCTGAAAGCAGGACCAGCCCCAACTACATCATCCCAGCCAAGGCCTTGTCGAGCCAGATCATACAAACCGCCAAGGATGGAGAGTCCCCCACCTCTCTGGGTGACCTGTTCCAGCGCTTCACCACACTCCTAGTAAGAGAGGTTTTCCTAATATCCAACCTCAACCTTCCTTGCAGCCACCTGATACCATTGCTCCTTGTCCTGTCATCTGCCACCATTGAATGTTCAAACAAGTACTTGCTGATTTCCTTCTATTTCTTTTTTTTTAATTTGTCTTAAAGCTGCTGTGAATTTAGCACCTGTGCTGTTAGCAATTTCTCTTTTATTCCCTTTCAAACTAAACCGATGTTCCCTGCAGCTGTCTCAGAATAGCCCCTGGGCCTGAGTCAGTGGGAAGTTTGTCTCATTAGGGACTCTGGGATTGCACCCTGGACTTTTTGCTGCTAGGATAGTGCTGCTTTTGTGGACACAAACACTGCAACTTTTAACTTAACACCATAAAAGATGTTTAAGAAAGGGAAAAGGTACCTCTCTCTGTGTGTCTTTCAGCTTTTCCATGTGTGTTTTCCCATTGTATTGCAGCACAGAGGATCTCTGGGCAGAGTGCTTCCAAGCATGGACTGACCAGCTCGATCCCAAACCCTTGGCTTTACTTGCAGGCTTGAGTCATTAGCGCCTACGAAATGCCCTCCCCTTCAGTCACCATTGCTTAATTAAAAGCTCTCGCCAGCCAAATCAAACTGACACGAGGGATACTGCAAGGCACTTCCAGCACAAATAAAAGGCACAGCGAACTTTGAGAGCCACCCATCACGTCCTCCTCTGAACCCGCTGTGAGAGCGGTTGTAACGGCTCTTCCTACTACTTTTAGAAAGAGCAAGAGCCCGGAGCGCCTGTTGCGAATAGTAGACGCTAGCCATTCTGATGGCAATGCAGGTCCCGAATCCCCAGGATGGATCCCAGCCCCTGAAGCTGCAAGCGCAGCATCCGAGGAGGAGGTGATAGGAGAGGAGTGGGTCTGAGCAAGTGGGAGAATGAACAAAGAAAAGTGGGGGTGAAGTATGAGATGCCAATCATGAGATATTGAACATCTGGGAAGGTGCCAGGTGGGTGGTTGGAGGCCAAACTTGGCACAGAAACAAGGAACTTTGGGCCTACGGGCAGAGGTGATGCCTTGGATGAGGTCTCACCCCGCCACTGTGTCTACATGGGGGTGTTATTATGCACTCCCTCTGCATCACCTAGTGCCATTTTTAAGCAGCAATGAGACTAGTTTCCCCCATTGTTCAGCTGCACAGAGTGACTCTAACACCTCCCTATGGTGGATTTTTTTACCTAGGAGGACAACTCATGTAGCCTGACGAGTGGCTTTTGACTGGGCCAGCTCATTCAAAGACCAGTGTGCAGAGCCTATGGCAATGGGAGTCTGACCCTGGCTGGGGTCTGCAAGTGCTATCGCAATATGAACGTGAACTAATTAACATATTAAAGATGCTGAGCAGCTTCTAACGGGCAATGCCTTCATGTCCTCTTTTGTCCCATCTTCTTTGTGCCTTGTACAGCTGGATAATCCAGACGAGCAAGCAGCACAAATTCGGCGTGAGTTAGATGGGCGTCTTCAAATGGCAGAGCAAATCGCCAAGGTAAGGAAAGTCTGTAAGTACGGTAACCAGACCGAGCAGGACTTTGCGTGGCCATCACACACTTCCCCTTCCAAGATAACTTTTTCTCCTCGACCATTGCGACCTAAAAACACCAGGAGATTTAGGGCTTGGTTCTAAGCACCCAGGACTCGGTGGTATCTGTGTTGCTCAAGCTCATAATTCCCCCTGGGAAATGAGAGGGAACGGTGGAGAAGTGCTGTTGGAAATGGCATCCACCAAGAGGTGATGTCCTGATGGTACTGAACCTGCTCTGCAGCCTCAGCAATCCCCACCTCTATTCCTCGCCCTACTCCTCACCTGCCTCCCATGACACCCCTGCCCAACACGCTCCTCTCAGTTGTCCCATGTTGCAGGAAAGGCAACTGAGCCTCTCTCCCCGAAGTGTTGACCCCCTTCAGTGGGAGTCTTGCTTCCCTAGGATCTACAAGGGCTGGACTCCCCACGAGGAATCCACTGAGATGCTTCAGCTCCTCCTTGCATTGAAATCGTGGCTCGTGGAAACAGTGCCAAAACCGGCGCATTTGGAGAGATGAGTATCCCGGTGATGAAGCATTAATGCCTCAGCATCAGAGCATCAATCAGCAGTCCTGACATTTAAAATACACTCCGATGTTTTATCGGTGGCCCCTGTCTTATGCAAAGTATATGCTATAAAACAACATCAAATTAGTCCTGACTGTGCCAGGACTAATTTCCTTGAGAGCACCTCTTCCTCCCGTCAAGGCTCATCCTAAAGCAGCTTAGTTCTGTTTCCAAACCCGACAGATTTAGGAGCTATTGAAATTTGATGAACCGCAGCTGGGCACACTTGGCCATGCCAGCCCAGGGGAAAGGATGGCCTCCAGGCTATGGCATTACCCTGCACTCAGGGCAGCTGGGATCAGTTTCTGGCTCTGCCACAGACTCTTTTTGTGACCTTTGGCAAGTCTCTTGTGCCTTGGACCAGGCCATTGAAAAGGGAATGAGGGCTCTTTTCTTGTCAGGATACCTACAGGCACATTGATGGAGGTGCCATGTAGACAAGAAACTCCCAAGACTGGAGGAAACAAACTGGAGAGCTGTGGGCTGAACTGGGAGAGGGGAGGTGTCAATTAGCAGATTGACTTCTTGATAGCTGAGGAGCTGGCCTTGGGTGTGTTTAACAGGATACGCTCCAAATGCATGGGGAGACACTGCCAGGTTTTTTCTGTTGCATGACGCTCAACGCCCAATGCAAGGAGTGACTGCCGATTTATTCATTGAATCTTAACAGTTGGGTTGGTTGGTTTGTCTTTTAATCCCAGGAACGCAAGTTTCCAAAATTTGTATCCAAAGAAATGGAAAACATGTACATTGAGGAGCTGAAGTCATCCGTCAACCTGCTGATGGCCAATTTGGAAAGCATGCCCGTCTCCAAAGGAGGCTCGGAGTTCAAGTTGCAGAAGCTGAAACGTAGCCACAACACCTCCATCATCGACATGGGAGAAGAAAACGAAAACCAGCTTTCCAAGTCGGATGTTGTGCTCTCTTTCTCCTTGGAGGTAAAAGCTATAAAAACTTTCTCCGTTCCATTGTAAAATCTGGAGAGTTAGTGCGATTAGCGGTTACAGCAATCAGTGCAAATGATGAGGATGGGTATTATAATAGCAGCTTGTAGCAGCTTGAGGATGGGCAGAGATCAGTCAAACAATTTCCGACTGTCCAAGAGCGGCTGATTCTAAATGGCCATTTGGATGCCTCTGTTTTGCTGAAACTCAGGGGGGCTGGTAGAAAATCACTCAAAAAGAAGCACTGTTAGATATCATCTTCGCAATGGGAGACAGGGGTTGTACCACACGTGGCTACCTGGAGCCAAGCTCATCCCTGACGTAACTTCACCAAAAGCTATGGGATTAATTCAGGGGTGAATCTGGCTGCCCGGTGTCTGTGCGCCATCTCCGAGACCTGCCAAGTCCCAGTCTCTTTCTGCAGTAATAAGGGCTGATGGATCAGAAATAGAAGTTCAGGGACAGAACATCCATTGGTGTGATTTCACACAGACATGTCCTTTATTACTGGCTCCTGCATTACAAATGCCTCTTGCTTTAGGTGTCTTTGCATTTGATTATTGCCAATTAGAGGTGTCACTTTGTTCCTCGGTGAGCCTTGCTTGAGAGCTGAAAAACTATTAGAGAAGTGCAGGGAGCATCGTAAGTTTGGAAAGAGCCCTGCAAATTGGCTCGTGGTTTGCAGGGGCGCCTTGCTCTTTCTTGAAGGCAATGGGCAGGCCGCCCCGCACCCCGCACAATCTTAGCCTGGCTCCCAGAAGCCTCTAGCTCTTCACAAGCAAGATGCTGAGATGATGCAAACAGCAATGCTGTCGTGTTGTTTCAGCTCCCGGTGAAAATCGCTTCTCGCTTTTCTTTTCGGGACCGTCGGTGCAAATGGGAAAAGGGTGCTCAGCACCTCCTGAGGGCAGCCCTCCAGGTGGGAGGAAGCCGGTTGTGTTTGATCTTGCTTAGTCCTTCCCTCGTGCATCCTCTCTGCACTCTGCAGGTCGTCATCATGGAAGTGCAGGGCCTGAAGTCCTTGGCTCCGAACCGCATTGTTTATTGCACTATGGAAGTCGAAGGTGGGGAGAAACTGCAGACCGACCAGGCTGAAGCATCCAAGCCCACGTGAGTTGCTTCTCCATTTATCCTTTGCCCTCCTGCCGGCTCGGCTCTGCTCTGCTGTTGCCCAGCTCTGCTCTTTTGTGTGAAAAGCAAATCGGCGCGGGGAGCTAAGATCTGTGTGCTCATCGATGTTCAGGTCCGAAAGAAGCATTGGAATATGCAAAGGGAAGCGTGCTTCGTTTTCATCCAGATGTGAAACCTGCTTTTCCACGAAGGGGGGGTTACCCTGGATCAGGTTTTGCATCTGGAACAGGTAAACTTCACATGAGCCCTATTCAGGAGAGCCCTTAAAGACATGCCGGGGTATTACTGAGGTCACTGGGATGTAAGTAAGTGTGTGTGCCTACGTGCACGTGCAAAGAACATGTTTCAGCACCTTGCTAAATGGGGATGGCGTGTGTAGAGTGCAGCACGTGTGTAATTGTTCAGCCGCGGCCGTCCTGTGAACATACATCACTTGTCTTTGGAAGTGTTATGAGAGAAAGAAACTCAGCGGATCAAGGAGAAATGCCCTTTCCAATGACAGCAAGAAAAGGGGAATGAAAATGCGTAGGTGTAGGAGGGCAGAGAAAAGAGAGAGGTGAGGCTTTCAAGTCCTGTGAAGAAATACCGGTATGGAGAGAAGGGATGGAAATTGGTGGCGGTGTAAAAACATGCCTAGACAGCACTCTTTACCTTTCACCCCTTCCCTGCCTCCGTGTCCTCTTCCAAAATCTCCTTCCCCTTGTTCTCTCCCATCCTAGCCCCCGCTCTATTGAGCATCAGGGCTCAGGGCCAGTTTTAAAATGTTTTTGTACTGCAGCACATCATCACAGAGTATATTCACATGCGTGTACACACGCACACCCGTGTCTTTATACGTGCATGTAAGCATCATCTTGATAACTGCAGATTTAGCAGTCAGCTTTGAGGCTCTTGATTTTTATGGAAACCTTGGAGCCAGCGCTCCTTGTCTGGAGAGGGTCCAACTCTCCGTGGGCACCGGCACCCCAGCCAGCCCAATCCTTTTCCCCTCTGGATCTCAATCCAAGTGTGAAACTTTCCAGGCCATCCTGTCTTCCTGGGCTCTCACACGAGCTGACTTTGTGCTCTTTTTCAGATCGGTGCATTTACAAGCAGCCATGTTTCACATCACGTGCTCATAACCCAGCGGTGTCTTGCCTTCAGCAATGTGCACGCTGGGGCCCCGTGATGCAAAGCACCTGCTGTTGCATGATCTGAACGCACCTCTGGGCGCACGCTCCATTGGCTTGTGGTCATTGTTGTTCTCACTCGGTCTTTTGGACCCAGAAGCTCTTGTAAGAATTTGCTGTTCTCCTCATCATAAAAAGCAATCTTCCTATGCCTTAGGTTGCCACTAGTCCAGCAACGTGCATCTAGACAAGCTTTAATACCAACACAACTCCCCCGCCATCAGATTTCCTCCAGTGTTAACTTAACACCCAGCCCTAGAACGTGCTTTGTGCTGTTGAGTCTCCAAATGCCTTCATTCCTCCGTCTCTGCCCTTTCTTAGCCCTCTGGCAAGCAGGAAGCCCAAGCCCAGTTTTTGCAGTGGCTTCCTTGTGCAAAAGGGTTTGCCGAGTAGTTGCTGAGCGTGCCTCCGTCAGCCTTCATGCACATCCTCGTAGTGAGCTGAGGGACTATCGCAGCCCCCTGGCAATGCTTGTTCTTCGAAATGCAAGGGGGACTGTCAAGTCCGGTTTGTCTAAACAAGATCTTTGTTGTTGATGCAGGAAATGATGGGTATCTTTTCTCTTCTTATTTTGGGTACAAAGCATTTGAGATGCTGCCTACGTGGGTATGAGATTTGTGTTTTCCAGTTAGTTCGTTATGGAGATTTCATATTTAAATGATATTCATGCTATACCGGTTTACGGTGCAAAATTTCCAAGGTCAGACACAGCTTTCTGGAGAATGCTGAGTTATGCCTAGAGCTTCAGGTTTCTCTTCTCCAGGGTACCACAAACCCCACTGGAGGGACAACGGGGCTGGACTAGGTGACCTAATGAGTCATATCCATTTCATAGATCTTTTATATGCTTTCAAGATGAGCTTCAAAGCACACAGTTTCCTCTAGGTGACCATTCTACAATAATGATTCATTAATACTTTTCAAGGCTCAGACAAACCAAGTTTAACATCTTTGATTCAACAAGAAGCAAAAGCATCATGTTGCCCTCCTCATGGGTATATAAATGCAGCATACAGACATTTCCAAAACTCAGGAGGAGGTATAAACAGGAAGTCTACTTTGCAAAAAGCAAAAAAAAAACAAACGTTGAGGTTGTCATTTGTATTTGCTAATTTTTATATAATGAGAATATTAATATATACACGTGTGTGTGTATATATATGTAACAGGATTATTCAAGCTGAAAGTATCCAAAGCTTGCTCCGTGCAGGCTGAAGGGCATCTGGACTCACTGTATTTTCCTGCAAGGGCTTTCAGATCAAATAGCCCGGCAGCCTTGTCACGAACTTGCAGACACCATTGATGAACTGGCACATTGCGGTCTGACTGAATGAGCTGCGTGGTTCCACCTGGAGCAGTTTCCAGCTCTCTATTAAAAATCAGGGAAGCACAGAGGGCCGTTAAGCTCCAAAGCACACCGCCTGCAACAAATCCGATGTGAAGGCCTTTGTGAGTTTTAAGATTATATTTTGCTGCCATTGTTTATTTGGAAAAACCCGTTTTCTGGGGAAGGATTTTAAAACACAGCGACTCGGCCGCAGCTGCGGACTTCCACGCTCGCCCAGCCGCGCCGGCAGAACCGGAGCATTGTTTCACGGGCATCTGTTTCCTTTCTGACGACAGAAAAGAAGCTGATGCCGCGCCGCCCTTGCCCAGATCCATGTGAATATGCTGCACACCTTTTCAAAGCAACGTCCCCAACCAGCAAGGGCATTGCAGCCAGCCAGACTCCTCAAAAGCATCCTCCACCTTGGAGAAGGCAATGGCAGGGCTGTTCTGGGAAGAGGATTTCCAAAAGAGCTTGCTGAAGTTCCTGTTTTTTGCTGCTTTGCTTTCCACTGAGAAGGAGTGATGCCTGCCTGCTTTGCAGAGCACATTTGGACCAGTCTGCACATCAGTCTGCACGTCAGGCTCCACGCCTGCAGCCGTCCCCGAAAGAAATCCTTGCTCAGGCAAGCGTTGCCCCTGGCCCCCAGGACACGGCTCTTAGGAGAGATCCTTGTGTCGATACAGTCTGCAGGACTCAACCCTTGAGCAGGGTTATTTTGGGCCATGATGAAATGGACTGTCTGAGCACAAAGCCACCCGCCCTTAGGAGACAGCAACTGGGGCAGAGCCGTGCTGCACACCTCCTGTACAAAGCATGCTGCTGTGAGCGGGATGCCCACCCCAGCTTCCCCTAGAAGGCTAAGCCCAGTTCAAGGTCTGAGTCCTTATTGCCGAGGCTCCCCCTGCCCCAGGCTTGACACCCGCAGCGTCCGGACACAGCTTGCTGGTAGCAGCTCTGCTCCTCGATATAAAGATGCTTTCTGTCCCCAAAATACAATTCATCCTGCAGAGAGGTACAGGGAACTTGCCAGGGCACTGTGGACCTTGCCTGCTTCCAGTCCAAGGGTCAGGCATGCTATTTGCCTTCACACTTGCACACACCCTGTCTCTCTCTCTCTCTCACACACACACACACACACACACACACACACGCGTGTGACAGCGGGGAGACGAAAAACAATCCTCCTGCTACCACAAATCTTCAGAAAACAGCGCACCTTATTGAACATGCCGAGGGGAGAGGATGGGACACTGGATGAACCACTGGGCTTACAGTTCTGCTTCAGGCTCCGCTGCTTTGTGCGCTGCCCCCCTCCGTAAGAGACAGTCGTGGATCCAAAGAGTGTACAGGGTAGATTTGTCTATAGCATTCAGCACTGACTGAACTGTGCTACCATCCAGCTCCAGGGGAGATTTGCATATTTTTAATTATCCCATTGGCTGCAATAAGCCTCTAAAGCACGGAGGAAACTTCATCCCATTGCCTTCCAGTGGGAAGCATTCGATCGGCAGTCCCACCAGGTGCTTTTTAGGGAGGGGGTTAAAGGAAGCTTTTGCTTTGCTCTCTAATCTGCTGGGGTGTGAAATCGTCCCATGGCTCGGAGTGGCAGCGTTCCCCCTTGCTGCTCCATCGCGGCTGAGCGCAGGCTCTCCGCCGCCCACGCTGCTCCATTTCAGCTGCAATCCTTTCGCGGCAGGATTACTAGATTCAGCACCTATATATAGCACGGCACATTTTTAGAGCGAGAGTCAGAGCTGAAATAGCAAGGGGCGGCGCAGATCAGAACCGCAGTGCACTCGCAGCGTTGTGCTGGGGAAGTGCACCGAGGCAGAGCCAGGATTGGGATGCATTGAATGCTACTGTCAGGAAGATCACCAGATCGATGGGTTCCCCATCACACCCCTTGCCCTGTCGGTCCCCTGGACATCGACTGATGTTTGCAAATTGGGATTCCCTGAGTGGGTAGAGCTTGCAACTTTAACCTCCGCCCTTGAAAATCACCTTGAGGATCACACAAGCTCTGTAGCAAAAAGGGACACAAAACTTCCTAGCTCTCGAGGTGGAAATTTCCTCTGTGGATCAATCTTCTGTGCAGCCATAGAAGATCTGCTCTTCTCATGGATTCAGGCAGTGTGTCTCCCTCCCAAGCACTGGATGCTGTAGTGCAACTGTTGCTACAAACTGAAGGATGCCCCAAAGCTCCCAGATTAATACAATAATAAATAATAATTTATTAAATGAAATAAATAATAATACATTAATAAAGTAATAACATATATTAGATTTACCCAAAGAGTTTTGTCTGCCTATGTCCTTAAACCAACACAGCTATGACCTATACCCTCGGTGTAGTCTATCCTCCTGATATGGTTACATGCAAATGACGCTGGGAATATCTGATGACGGTGAAAAGTGAATTAAATCCTCTTGTTATTAGGTTATATATTTATAAATAAAATAATAAACACATCATTAGTTGG